TACAACTTTGGAGGTATGCTTAGGATCATTGTCCTGCTGGAAGACCCAGTTGCGATCAAGTTTTAAACTTCTGGCTCATGTCTTGAGGTGTTGCTTTAGTATTTCCAGATAATCCTCCTTCCTCATGATGCCATGGATTTTCTAAAGTGCACCAGTCTTGGGATTTATTAGAACCTTTCAGATCAAAGTTTGGTCATCCCTGGGAGTTAATTTGTGGCTCTTTCCTGAATGATCTGTGTCTGCGTGGTCCCATGATTTTTATATTTGCATACAATTGTTTGTACAGATGCTCATGGTATCTCCGGTTGTTTCGAAATTGCTCTTAAGGAGGAACCGGACTTGTGAAGGTTCACAATTTTTTTTCTATGGCTAAATTGCTTGGATTCTCCCACGGTATCAAGGGCAAAAATATTGGCCCTTAAATACAGCCACAGGTGCACTCCCAATTAACTCCTAATTATGAAAATTGGCCAATCAGAAGCTTCTAAAAGTCATTACATCAATTTCTGGAAATCTTCCAGACTGTTTAAAGATACAGTCAACTTGGTGTATGTAAACTTGTGACCCACCGGAATTCTGATATAGTGTATTAAAGCTGAAATAAATCTGTCTCTAATCGATTGCTTTAAAATTACCTCTGATGTGTAAGAAACAAAGTAGATGCCCTAACTGGCTTTTCAAAAGCATTGTATGATAACTTGAAATGTGTGGAGTAGAGAAAATCTGAGATTGAAAATTTTTAGCCTAGATCTATAGAAACGTTTGGCCTCAACTGTATGTAAGTGATTTTGTTAAATCAGGTGACCTGCAAACATTTTAGACAGACTGATTTTTTTTTAACACTGAAGTTGTTATTTATCTTGTGTCAGGTTTATTTGATTTGGATTTAATACATACTGTATTTCTAAAAAAAAATCTTCTATATAAAATATTTTTGCACATAACCAATGTCACATTAAAAATCAGCACTTAGCAGTAATGGTCAAGATGCATTTTAGATACTGTGGTAATTCTTGTTGTCACTATTTGTGCTTTGTGGAAAGGGGAAAACACACTTTTTTTTTATCATCTAGTTGAGCCAGAAGACATGCGACATAACTTTTCAGAAATATCCAAGAATTTACTGCCTTGGCTTGCAGTCCTTTCTGAAAACCAGTTAATAATATAAATTGCCTTTGGTACAAAGTGTCAGAAAGATAGTTTTTTTTTTTTCAAATTGGAAAAGGTCCAAACTAGGAGCAAAGAAATAACGAAACAATTCTGACAAAAGCGGAAAAGGAATTGGCTTCCTACTCAAACTGACAGAAACCGATTGCCTGAGTTTGCCTCCGGTGGGATTGTTCAAATATGGAAGGCCAGAAGGGTCAAATATAAAGATCACCGAATTCATGTTTAAAATGTTCTCCTCTCAGATTTACCACAAACCACAGAGGAAGACATTTAAGCAGACATAAACTCAAGCATTAGCCCTTATAGACTTGGTTTAAGGGGCAATTTAATGCAAAATCAAATTCCTATGAGTTAACAGTTATGGGCACAAAAACCTTTTCAATTTCCCAATTATATTTCTATATGTTTTTAAATATATTAAAAAAGATTACTATTTTTCGCATGAAACTATACAATGGATATAAAAAGTCTACACACACCTGTTTAAATGGCAGGTTTTTGTGAAATAAAAAAAAACCTCCCTCCAAAATTTACAAAAGGACAAGACAAAACTTACCAGGGAGGCTGTCAAGAGACCTACAGCAACATTAAAGGAGCTGCAGGAATATATGACAAGTACTGATTACTCTCTGCATGTCGAAACATTCTCTCATATTCTTCACATGTCTGGGCTGTGGGGTAGGGTGGCTAGACGGAAGCCCTTTCTCACAAAAAACATCCAAGCTCAACTAAATAACTCCAAACCATGTGGCAAAATGTGTTATGGCCTGATGAGACCAATTCAAAAAGACATGTTTGGCGCAAAAAAAAGTACATCACTAAAAGAACACTATCCCCACGGTGAAGCATAGTGGTGGCTGCTTTTCTTCAGCCAGACCTGGGGCTTTTATCAAGGTGGAGAGCATCACGAATAGCTACAAATACAAGTCAATTTTAGTGCAAACATTCAGGCATCTGCTAGTAAGCTGGAGAAAAGGAATTTAACCTTTCAGCACAACAATGACCCAAAGTGTGTAGCCTTTTTATATCCACTGTAGATATCAATGTGGTGGGAAAATGGCTAGTTTGTCCTGCCGCCTCGTATATTGCTTGCTTTACTGCTTTTTACATAGGTCAGTTTTTATTATTGACAATTTTGACAATCTTTTAGCTCTCATGAGTTGCACTGCAATATATAAGAGTGGTTTAAATTAAGAAACTTGAAAAGACTGTCTAGGATTTTCAGACCAATTGGTAATGATAATACTGTCTGTCTGCAGCTTTTAAGGTTTCTCACATTGTTTTAAGGAAAGGATAAAAGGAAGATTTTTGCTTAGTGTCATTACTAAGGCAAAGATTGTTGGGTTGGAGAGGATTCTTATTTTATTTGTATTTTACTTTAAACATATTCTTAATTTCTATTCCAGCTGGTTTATATAGCAATTAACTAAGTATTCTCTATAGAGTTTGAAGGACTGTTTTAGGCATGTGATGTCCATATAAAAAATTACATCTGTAATGCTAGATTTGCTCAGTAATGTATATACATCCCTCCATTCATGTTTCCTTCAATGATGTGTAATGCTCCAATACTGTTTGCAGAGAAGCAGCCCTATATCATGATCTCTGTACTTTATGGTGGGTATGGTGTTCTTGGGACCATACTCACAACCCTTATTCTCCATACATGATGAGCTGAATTATTGCCAACAAGTTCTATTTTTGTTTCATCTGTTGTTCCAAAAAGGCTCTGATTTGTCTAAATGCTTGCATGCAGATTTTAAAACCACATCTCCGTGCTTCTTTTTTGGCAAAGGAGTTTTGTGTGGGGACTGAGGTGCCTGCTGTGGAGTTCATTGCTTACTGTTCTCTGTGCAACTTTTCTTCTTTCTGCACTTTGTTTGAGTGACAAATGGCTTCTCTCTTACCTTCTTTATCATTAGTCTGAGAGTGCATTGTAAAATCTAGCAAATATATGAATATACAGTACTGTGCAAAAGTCTTAGGCACCCTATTTTTAGTACAAACTTTGTTATGGATTTTTATTTTATGGCTTCTACATTATCGAGTCGGTGCAGAAACATTTTAGATTTCCAAACATTAGTTTTCCAGCACAAAATTAAACGTTACAGAAAAAGGTTTGTATGTCAGTAAAAAAGCAGCATATCATGTAAGAGACCACTTTTCAGACAAAAAACATAATGATGGCTGCTGGGTTTTGCTGCAAAAAATAAGAAGCAAGTGTGACAGTCAAAGTCTCCAGAAGAACTGTGGCTGGTTCTGCAAGATGCTCAGTAAAACTTACAGCTCATTTCCTTATAAAACTGCACAAATTGTACCTGAGACTACTATTTTTTTAAAGCAAAAGGCCATCACACCAAATATTTATGTTATTTCATTTATTATTGTTTACTGCTATTTATAGCATTTTTAATGTATTTTTTAATTTATAAGACAATTCAACAATATGAGTCAATACTGCAAGTCAATATGAGTTCAAATGTTGCATCTATAACACTGGAATACCATTAGGTGTTGTGAAATTCTATATGTGCTTATATAATTCTGTGCTTTACGCCGAGATGCAATTCTCCTTTCAAAGCTGACAGCTTTATCAATGTAGGAAGGCAGTACCAACAAGTATGTCAATGACTTCCAATCAGCCATGCTGAGACGTAATCCATGAAACACTTTGAGACTGACAGTAATGGGAAAAACACAAATGATTTACCATTTTTTCAAGAAATGATATCTCAGTTCCTGCTTTTTTGTATCTGCCTGTGCTGGCATGCAATGTGTTTGATCATCATTGTTTTTTATTTAATGAAATGGTAATATAATAACAAATAACTGCAGAGACTTTATCTCACCTGCCCAGGTTTTGCATCTTCACAGATGGAGGCTTCGTATGGGGTGGCCAGCTCAGGTGGGTTGTCATTCACATCCAGAATACGGATGCTAACTGAAGTCTGAGAAGCCATGGACTGGTTATCTGGAGAGAGAGAAAAAGAGTGAGGAATAAAGATGATAAAGGGTATGAGCAGGTAAGAATGTATAACCAATATTAATGTTGCATTTATTTTTCCCTAACTGCAGGTTTCTGATATAACTAAAATGGAATATGCCATATAGACAGTAGCATAAACATACAATATATACTGTAGATGATTAACTGTGGTTACTTTACAAGACAGTAAAGTAGCCACAAATCTACTATTATTGTCCATTGGTTCCTTCAACGTTAAACCTGTTTCCCATCATTTTCATGATATATAACTTCCTGATGCCTAACACTATTGTAGCTTTTAAACTCTGAACTTGTCTGTCATATAAAGTCTAATAAACTAATAAGAAGCAATTTCTATACTTAGATTTAGTGCAAAAGAAAAGCAGGGTTTAGTTTGATTTTAAAATCAGATACATACAGGTTTTCCCCATATCCACTGAGAGGAAATCATGACTGAACAAACCTATTTTCAGATCAAGCTTGGCTACAGTATGTGACAGGCAATTTTGATAATTAGAACAGTTTTAATCACAGCCTTCAAAAACCTTCAGAATATAATTTTGTTAAAATATTAAAATCACTGGGAAGATTGTCAGTGTTAGATTCCTTTAAGGTTAACATGAGGAGTCGGGATGTAGGAGAGGAAATGTGCAGTCATATTATTATAATTTATATTACTAAAACCAGTTGTGTACACGGATAATTAATTAATTTGTCTGTTTACTCACTCACATTTACAGCATTTAGCAGACACTCTTATCCAGAGCGACTTACAATTATCACATTTATACAACTGAGCAGTTGAGGGTTAAGGGCCTTACTCAAGGGCCCAACAGAGGCAGCTTGGCAGTGCCGGGATTCGAACTCGCAACCTTCCAATCAGAAGTCCAACAGCTTAACCACTGAGCTGTCACTACCCGTTTGACATATTGAAACAACAGCAGTAATGGTACATTAATGTATATATATACAGTTAAGCTGTATAGATGTAAAATATTATATTTACATCTTAGATGTGTTAAACAACTTAGAATATGGCACCTTTTGTTTGAACCCACCCATTTTTCAAGTGATCAAAAATACTGGAACATGTGACTTACAGGTGTTTCTTGTTGTCTAGGTGTGCCCTGTTAGATTGAATGTTTAAACAATTAACAGCTCTGAATGTCTACTCTTAGTTTGAGCCCTGGGTTTTGCCTGTGAAGACTGCCTTTGTTATTAAAAAGGATAAACCACAATGAAGACCAGACAGCTGTCTATGGGAGAAAAGCAAGCCATTTTGAATCTGAGAAAAGAGGGAAAATCTATCAGAGCTATTGCATTGGGCATAGCCAATACAACACATTGGAATGTCCTGAAAAGTAAAGAAATGACTGGTGTACTAACAAGCAGACACTGAACAGGTCAGCCAAGGAAAACAACAGCAATTGATGACAGAAACGTTGTAAGAGCTGTGAAGAAAAACCCAAAAACAAGAGTCAGTGACATCACTGACAACCTCAGGGGGGGAAAGGCATCACAATCCACTGCTTCAAAGACTTTGAGAGCAGAAATATAAAGGCCATACCTCAAGATACAAACCACTTCAAGATCAGAAATGTAAAGGCCATACCACAAGATGCAAACCACTCATCAGCAGTAAGAATGAGAAGCCAGATGGTAATTTGCAAAGAAATACAGAGATGAGCCACAAACGTTTTGGGACCAAGAGTAACCTCTACCAAAGTGATGGATAGGCCAAAGTGTGGAGAAAGAAAGGATCTGCTCATGTTCCAAAACATATAAGCTCATCGATCAAGCGTGGTGGAGGAAATGTCATGGCTAGGGCTTGCATAGCTGCTTCTGGAATGGGCTCACTAATCTTTATTGATGATGTAACTCATGATGGCAACAGCAGAATGAATTCAGAAGTCTATAGAAACATACTGTCTGCCAATTTACAGAGAAATGCATCCAATCTAATTGGGAGGAACTTCATCATGTAGCAAGACAATGATGCAAAACGCACTGCCAACACAACAAAGGACTTCATCAGGGGAAAAAGGTGGCAGGTTTTAGACTGGCCAAGTCAATCACCAGACCTTAAGAAGCCCTTGTCCAGAGCGACCTACAGAAGTGCTGTGAAGTCTATATCAATAAATACATACATCCTCAAACTGGTTCACTTGGTCATTCTATAAACCTTGTTGGTTTACATTATTAAATAATATACGTGTTAATACTTTTGCTCACCTAAAAATAGGGTGGTTTGCCAACAAAGATGCCATGTTCTAAGTTGTTTAACACATCTGTATATACACCATTCAGCCATAACATTAAGAACCAATGACAGGTGAAGTGAATAACATTGATTATCTCATTACAATAGCACCTGTCAAGGGGAAGCAGAAAAAATGGGCAAGTGTAATGATCTGAGCGACTTTGACAAGGGCCAAACTGTGATGGCTAGACAACTGGGTCAGAGCATCTCCAGGTCTTGTGGAGTGTTCCCGGTATGCAGTGGTTAGTACCTACCAAAAGTGGTACAAGGAAGAACAAACAGTGAACCGGCAACAGGGTCATGGGCACCCAAGGCTCATTGATGTGCATGGGGAGCGAAGGCTAGCCTGTCTGGTCTGATCCCACAGAAGAGTTACTGTAGCAAAAAATGCTGAAAAAGTTAGAATACACAGTGCATCACAGCTTGCGTCATATGGGGCTGTGTAGCCGCAGACCGGTCAGAGTGCCCATGCTTACCCCTGTCCACCACTGAAAGTGCCTACAATGGATATGAGAGCATCAGAACTGGACCATGGAGCAATGAAAGAAGGTGGCCTGGTGTAATGAGTAACTTTTTTTTTTTTACATTATGTGGACAGCCGGGTGCGTTTGTGACACTTACCTGGGGAAGAGATGACACCAGGATGCGCTATGGAAAGAAGGCAAGCCTGCGGAGGCAGTGTGATGCTCTGGGCAATGTTCTGTTGGGAAACCTTGGGTCCTGGCATTCTTGTGGATGTTACTTTGACACGTACCACCTACCTAAACATTGATGCAGACCAAGTACACTCCTTCATGGCAATTCCCTAATGGCATATTCCCTAATGGCAGTGGCCTCTTTCAGCAGGATAATGTGCCCTGCCACACCGCAAAAAATTGTTCAAGAATGGTTTCAGGAACATGACACAAAGAGTTCAAGGTGTTGACTCCAAATTCCCCAGATCTCAATCCGATCAAGCATCTGTGGGATGTGCTGAACAAACAAGTCCGATCCATGGAGGCCCCATCTCACAACTTACAGGACCTGGAGGATCTGCTGCTAACGTCTTGGTGCCAGATACCACAATGCACCTTCAGGGGTCTTGTGGAGTCCATACCTCGACAGGTCAGAGCTGTTTTGGTGGGGACCTGCACAATATTAGGTAAGTGGTTTTAATGTTATGGCTAATTAGTGTGTGTGTGTGT